GGCAGGGCACAGCTCATGCAGCCACCAGGAAGCTGGAACACAGCCGCGGAACTGGTATCTGTGTAGCACCCGCCCGGCAGAAGAGCGGGGCTGTCAGGACTTTGTCTCGAGCGCACTCTCCCAAGCTTGGTGGAGGCCCGCACCGGGACAAAGGGGCGGCAGACCTCCCACCGCGGCGCCAGCGAACCGGCCCTTCCCTCCGCAGCCGCCGGGAATGCGCGCGCGCGCCCGCCCGCCAGGCGGGTCCGGGGAGGAGCTCACTTCGCCTGGCCTTTGTGCGGGACCCCGCCCCCGCCCCGCACGTGGGGCCTGAGCCGGGCCGGGTGCGGGGAAGGTTCTTGGGCCGTCCAGCTGGGCGCATCCCGGGGGGTCCAGAACTCAGCCTGTTGGGGAACGCCGCTAGGTTTGCACTGCTCGCCCTCACCTCGCGCGGGGCGCTGCCGGGACCCGCGCCATGACCACCGCCATCCCCGGCCCAGCCCGGCCCACTCCAGCCGCTCGCCGAGGCGCGGCCCGGGCTCGGCGCCTCTGCTGCTCCGCCCCCTCAAGCCTCGGCCCGCGGGCTCTTTAAGAATCCAGAGCGGAGGTGGGCCCGGGGCAGGACTTGAGGCCGGGGCGGGAAGGTGTTCCTGACTTTCACGCAGCCAGTGCCGCGTTTCGGGCTCCAAGGTTCTCAGATCCTCCGCCGAGGAATGTGGCCACCCATCTGGGGCCGTGAGGCCCCTCTGAATGAGGCTTTCTTCTGGATTCTGAGGCGCGAGCTCTAATCAGCCCAAGATATCCTCCCCCGCCAGCTCGCGGCCGGTGGTACAGTCTTCCCCGCTCCGCCTCGCGACCAGCCGCTTAAAGGGACAGCGTTAGGGACTGTAGTCGCGGAGGGAATAAAGAAGGTGGTGTTCCTCCGCCCGTCCATAAGGTGGTGCTGAGGGACCCGGGGCCTTGGCTGGGGGCAGCAGAGGATATGGCCCTATACCCGCGAGTGTGGCTTCCAGCTCTGCGGCCATTAGTTTGGAAAGAGGGACGGTGACCAGTGCCGACCTCGGGCCTCCCGGGACAACAACACCAGTCCCCTACGGATCAGGGCTCCCTTCCCCCCGTTCCATTCTGAAGGGAAGCCCCGACCCCTGCTAGACTTGGGGAGGGGGCCAAGCACCAGCCTCCTAGCCCTTGCTGGGCTGGGCCGAGGCTGTGGGTTGTCTTGGCAACACGGCCTTTGAGTCGCAGCGTGGCCGGTCCCGCTGGGTGCTGTAAGCCCAGCGGGCCCTGGGGATAGGGCCCCCAGCCCGCGACCTGCATTAGGGACAGGCCCATGCCTGGGCTCCCGTTCCTTCTTGCCCAGGCTCTCTGGAGGCCTGTAGGAAGCCCCCCAGCCTTTATTTCAACCTGAAGAGGCTGCTACCCCCAGAAGTACCCGGCCCAACCGCAGAGAGAGCCAGCCTGGCTACAGGGGCTTCCCCGGGCCTCCACCCGGTATCATGAGCCCTTTCGCCCCACAAGCTCCTTCCCGCTGGGGAGCAGCCTTGGAGCCGGACCGGGCCAAGATCTCCCTGCATCTTCCTAGATCCTCTGCCCCTTACGCGGCTCAGCTCCCCCAAAGGGCCCGGGTCTGCATCACCAGCCCATTCCCGTCTGCGCGCCATGGAGGGGTTGGAGAAAGAGCTCCTGTGAGCGGATCTAAGAGGGTGCAGAGCAGTCGCCCGCACTGGGCTCACCTGTGTGGGAGCCCGTGGGCCCAGTGGGTCGGCGGCCTCCCTTCTTCCCCGGGTGAGCCTCTCTAGCTAAGCTACTCGCACCAGCTGCTGCCCGCTGGGCAGCCCGCCGGCGACTTGATAAACCCCATCCCCTCCCACCCGCTCCCGCCTCCCACCCCAACCCTTTTTCCTCACTTCCTGCTGCCCCTCTGAGGAAAGGGCCAGAAACAAGCGCGGGGGAAGGGACCGCCTTGACCCTGTTTCCCTCCGACATGCCCTGCTGGCTGGCTGCCCTCCCCACCCTTCCCCCCCGCCTGCAGTATACCCTGGCTCTGGAACTGCACCAGGTGACGGGAAGGCTGTAGGACTTGGCTCAGGTGACAGCCTCTGCCATGCCGGCAGCTTCCTAACCCTGAAAGCTCTTCTCCCTAACCTCCCCTTGAGGTCGGCACTGGTCCTCAAATCCAGTAGCCTGTGGGTGGAGGGGCCCAGTGGTGGGATGCTTGGCTGACGGTCCCCCAAGGCAGGTGGTGAAGAAGGGAACCGGCTCTGGGGGGTTTTGGGGAACTTCCAGGAGCGGGGTCAATTTTTCCCACTGACAGCGGAAGCATCCCAAATGTGACAGAGTGGAAAACATGTTGTGTGTGGCTGTGCAGCGTGGGGGTTGGGACAGGGGCTGGGAGGGGTCTATAGGCCCCCAGATTCCTGGGTGAATTTCACCAAGACACTGTAGAGTAGGGAGTGCATAACTTGGCTGAGAAAAGGGCTGTTTCTATGGGAAGGGGGTGCCCATAACAGGACTGGCCCCAAGGAGAGCTGCAGCGGAGTCCCAGCAGGCTGTTCTAGAGGGGTGGGCAAGACTGCACACCCTCAAATCACCCTCAGCCTACCCCATTCACCCTACTGGCCCACCTCCCTGAGGCCAGGGCCCCTCTCCTAACAGAAGGCCATGGAAGACTGGGCAACTGGGTACACACTCTAGAGTACCACCGAGGACCAAGGAGTCCAGGACATGGCAAGGGAGGGTGTGTCCCCATACCATTGTGCTGGCTCCATAAGGGACACAAGCCTTGGAAACGGCAAGGGTGGGGGCCCCTGGGGAAACAAAGGCCAGACCAGACAGTCCCAGGGCAGGGACACTTCCTCAGGCAGCCAGCAGGAAGGAAGTGAACACAGCCCAGTGGAAGGGAGTGGAAGAACACTGCCCTGACCCCCATTGTTTCCAGCTTTGGGGTCAGCTGGGGCAGGCTGAACACAGGGAGTTCCCCCAACACTGGGACAGTGGTGATGGGAGATGGGATGCCATCTGGCATGGCAGAGTCCTGGTCCTGGGGCAGTAAGGGGGATAACAGAGGATGACAGGGCCTTATGTCTGGCATCTTATCAGGGAAGTGGGAAGGTGCCCAAAGAAGACCTACAAAGGCTGCACAGGAAGATCCTGCTCTGGATATGACAAATTTAAGCCTCCAAACGACTGGCAGGCCAACTCCCCAAACTCAGAAGCCTGTGTCCCTGAACTCCCTCTTTCCTAACTGGAAGTTGCGCTGATGGCCAACAGCCAAACCTAGCAGGGAACCAGCCTTCTAGCAGGGCCTGAGAAGTGTAGGCTGAATGTACACAGGGGCAGCAGGAGGTGAGAACACAGGGTCAGCAAAGAACAAAGAAAGTACTAGGTGGATGAGTTCTGCCTGATGGAACAGAAGCCCCAAACCCACTCTCCTGATGGGATCCACAGACAGTCCTGGGAGGAAGCAGGTGGGTTGGGGCCACATAGTCTGGCGGTAGGCCAAGGGCTTGGTGGCACCCAGCTAATTGCTGTTCACTTAAGATGGATATTGGAGGTCCATGGGGTTTGTGTTGTGACCTCATATGGGGTCAGCTGGCATTGCTGGGGGCAAGACAGCTGTCCCAGAACTACCTGAGGTCATGCTGTCACCTCAGGTCAGGCAGATGGGGCCAATCCCTAGTGAAGCACCCCAAAGCCTTCCAATTCCAGGAGTCTCCACCTATTAAACACAATAGACAAGTGAGTGGCCTTCCATTCTGAGGGGCCCTGCAGTGACAGTGTGTGAATACACTGCCACCTGCTGGCCACAGCTGGAATGGCCACAAACTGGGCTCATCTCGATGATAAAGATGGGAGCCATCGGAGTGGCCCAGTCTATACATGGGATGTCACAGCAGATGCCACTCTTGTATGCAGGGTCTACAAATAATTTTATTGAAACTAAACAAATAACACAACATCCTTTTTAGATTGGGGGCTGCCCTTCCCAAGCCATTTCCCACACTCTTAAAAGCACAGAGCTTGCACAGTAAGGAATTTAAAAAAAAAAAAAGTCATTTTGATGTAGAAATCAGACTCTGCCCCAACATCATGGACTAGACTATTTACAGACTTTCACATTTTAAGTATTCCTTTATGATTGATCTCTCCTTTCTGTCTCTACCCAGGGGCTTCAGTACCTTCCATTGACTGATCCTGGGGGATGGGTATACTGTAGGGAAAGGGGTGGTGGGCTCCTCACAGTTATTGACACCAACCCTAGGGGTGCTGTCCCTCACCAAAGGGTGGCAGATGGTTTCCTCCCTATGGCAGAGGTGTGTGTAAGTATCGGGCTGGTACAAAGGCAAGGAGGATTAGACAAAGTAGGTGGGCTGGGGCAACTCCCCATAGGCACAGGCATCATAGCCCTTCCTGATCCCGTCTTATGCCCTCTCAGCTGGGGTGAGTGTGTGTGTGTGTGTGTGTGTGTGTGTGTGTGTGTGTTTGTGTGTGGGACAAGTAGTTGCAGTGGGGAGGGATCAGTCCAGCCCTGGGTGGAGGAAGAATCCTCCCACACCAGTCCCATCTCCCATTAACAACCAGAAAACTGTCCATCCATCTGGGGGTGGGAACAGATGAGAAGGTAGGCAGGAAGAATCAGGCTTGCACTGCCCCCCACCTCTGTCCAACATAGGAGGAATCGAGGTAGCAAACGGCTGAAATGCTCCAACAAGGGGGTAAGGAAAATGAGGGAAAGGAAGTTCCCACTTGTGTACAGTTCCCACAGCCCAGGGGCTGGAAGAAGGCAGACCTTGCTTGTAAAGTGCTGTAGCCCCTAGCAGGGCTGGGCCCTAGGCAAGCTTGTAAGAAAGCAGGCCAGGCAAGGGTGCAGGAACTAGGCATTCCTGACTGGCATATGCCCTGCCATGTTCCTTGCAGGGATTGCTGGGGAAGGTGGGCTGGTAACTCTGCCATTAGCCCTCACCAGCCGCCAGCCACCTCTTGTCCACATATAAACCAACACCCAACCAACGCTGCAGGACTGCCCCGCTCACAGCTGAAGTTTCCAGGCCAATGCAGTTTATTCAGGGTTGTGGCCCCAGCTTAGGTTCCTTAATGGAAGCCACACCTTGAGCCTGGGGGTTTCTTGGTGGGGTAGGGAGTGCTTATGCCTGCCACTCCCCAGGCTCACACCTCATAGAGGATCACAGGAAAATCCACGTGGATGCGGGGAGGATCCAGCTTCACGATGCCCTGCCATGGAAACAGAGGCTAGTGAGGGCCAGCTCCTCCCCCAAGACATGCACATCCCACCATGACAGCAGACCACATCTGGGATCTCCACACACTCAACACAGGCTCTATGACCACTGCCCAGACCCTCACCTGAGGAATCAGGTTCTTATGCACCCGCCTCAGCTTGGCCCGCTTCTGCCCGTTCTTGGTGACGATTGTCTCCTCGTAGAACTCGTGAGCCAGATCCCCATCCTCATCATAGAACATGGAGCTGTGTGGAGAGAGAGGGAACGGGCTGGGCTGGAGCCCCACACCCAGTCATGGCAAATGACCAGACTAAAGGGAAATGTGCCCACCTCCAAATGGGGAGCAACCTTGGTGGGAGAAAGAGAGGATAATATGCCCGAAGAATCCTTTGTTTAGGGCTTGGGGTCTACTAGAAGCAAGTGGGGAGTGGGATGGTAGCCAGTGCTACTCTGTCAGTCTCCCAGAAGAGAGATCAATCAGAGCACATTGTCATGGCAGCCACGGCCAGTTCTCATCACTGGTTTGCTCAACAAAAGCAGCCATTCCAACATTAGGCCCTTGTCTTCACTCAGGACTTCTAGAGTGGGCAGGATGATGGCTTGGGCATGTGTCTCTCTCCAGAAGATGCTGCTGGCCCTGGGCCAACCTGAGATGGCAGATGCCTGAACTAGAAGGGAGCCTAAAGAGAAAAAGGTTGAATCCTCCCCACCCACCCCAGATGGCTGGTGTGGCCAGACTACCACCGTTGAGTCTCCCTAGTATCTACAGCCAAATCTCCAACATCACTTGAGTACCATTCCCATTGGCCCACAAGGAGCAGGCCAGTATAGCGCTCCTATCTGGACCCGTGGAGAAAGAGAAGGGAGGTCAGTACTCCAGATGTGAAGAACATACCTGGATGAAGGTCTTTTTACTAAGGTTCCATCCTCAACACTGGGGCCCAGTCCTACTTTCACGGCTACTACCCTCAGAGGTCTAACCCCACGACGGTGGGGAACGAAAATAGCCAAAACAGGGTTATTCTTCCCTCAGAAAAATTGGGAGAGAAGGAGGCTAGGAGCCTTCAACTTTCATGCTGGGCAGGAGGGGATGAAAGAAAAGAAATCCTGAAGTCTCAGGGAGGCTCCAGCTCAGCTTTACCGTGCCGTGGGCCCGCCCATGGACAAGCCTCAGGCCCACTCTTCCCCTAGAGAGACCTTCCAAGCAGCCAGATCGCTAGGAACCGACTGCTCTGCTTTCCCCACCCCTTGCTCCCACGGGTGCCCGAAACATCCGACTCCTCCTGTAGCTCCCTGTGACGGAGGGCGCCCCGCCGCCCTCCTGTCCTCCCCGGGGCGGAATCCGCGCCCTTACCCGCGGCGCGTGAATACGAAGGGGGGTACGACTCGGCCTCGCGGCCGCACCAAAGCTTGCTCAGCGACCGACGACTCCGGGCCTCCGCCCCCCGCCGCCGAGGCGAAGGGCCACAGGCCCCGAGCTTTGGAGCCGCTGGCGCCCATGTCAGGGCCGCCGGCGCATGGCGAGCCCCTCGGCCGCTTTGCTCTCACAGGGCCGTGGGCGCCGCCATGCCCTGCCTGGGCCTCCGCTCGCAGGTACCGCCGCCGCCGCCGCCGCTGCCGCCGCCGCCTTCTGCAGGCTCCGCTGTCTCCACGGGAACCTCACTTCCGCTTCCGCACGCTCCGCACGCTGCCTTCTCTGATTGGCTGCTTCTCTCGTCGGTCCGCGGGGCGGGACCAATAGCGGCTCTCGGAAGCTAGGCATCCCAGCAGGAACCGCGAAACGTCAGGTCCCAGCAGGCCAAGCTCTCCGCAGCTGGGACACCTCCTACCCAGTCAAGCGGAGGTTGTGTCCTCCTGCTTTCATGTGTGGCGTCTCCGACGTCCCCGACCCCCAGAAGTCAGGTCCAGCGGGCTGCCCAACCACCAGCTTCCCCACAACCAGCCTTTTAGGGCTGCCCCAGGCCAGGCCCCGCATTGCCCGCCTGGCTTCGTTTTATTCCCACACCGTTTCTGTGATCACCACTGTTGCATGTAAAGAAACCAAACCTAAAGAAAACTAAGTAATTGGCCAAATGTAGAACTACGTTCAGTCTGAAGAACTTTGGGTTCAGTGTTCTTTCCAAACCCACTAGAAGGCATACTTCACGAAGGCAAGAATTAACAGCTAGACCTTGGGGGCCATGAGCCTCGTCTGGTCCTGGTCCACAGCAGTAAGTAGCTCAGTAAAAACGCCTCCCACAGCTTAGAGTGTGTGTGTGAGTATGTGTTGGGAGGGGTGTGGTTTCCCTAAATTCTAGCTTATATTCTCGCCTGACCTGAACCCCCATGGTGGTGCATGTTGACAGTCCCTATTTGTACCCCCACATCCTTCAAATATTGGTCACATGGTGACATTTATTTATTTAGTTATTTATTTTTAAAGATTTTATTTGCCAGAGAGAGAGAGAGAGCGAGCGAACACAGGTAGGCAGAGTGGCAGCAGAGGCAGAGGGAGAAGCAGGCTCCTGCCGAGCAAGGAGCCCGATGTGGGACTTGATCCCAGGACGCTGGGATCATGACCTGAGCTGAAGGCAGTCGCTTAACCAACTGAGCCACCCAGGCGTCCCACATGGTGACTTTTAAAAGGTGCTCTATGAGCCTGTCCATCACCCTTGGTAGCCACTGGCATGAGGGCAACTTCGGTTGAGGACCCATAATAAAGAGTTCCAAAGCAGAAATCTTAAATCTTTATTCAGCCAATTCTCTTCAGGCCCCAGGCCCTGATGATGACTGTCACCCCCACCCCCTTCCCCACAGGAGGCATGCAGCTGAGGCCACAAAACAGTACATACATTCGCACACATCATCAAAAATAACTGAGGGAAAGACCCTCGCTCTGATAGGCAAAGAAGGCACAGACCTGGACCAGTGCCCACATTCACACAGACCCTGGTCTAGGGACATCCTCCTTGGAGGAGGCACTGAGGCACTGTTGCTGCACCATAACCAGCATTCCCTGACCCCAGTGTGTGTGAGGAGTCAGAAGCCACTGTAGAGGGAAACCTAGACTCGTTCCCCAGGCCTGCCTTATCTTGAACACCTGCCCTTGGCTCCGACTGTCCTGACATCCCATCTGAGACCCAACACATATGACCCTTCCCCATAGATGAGGGCCCTTATCCCTGCAAACATGACCCTATTCTGTTTGTAGGGTTTCCCAAGATTCTGGTATCTGAGACATGAATTAAAGAGACTTAATTCCGCTCAATCCCTGCTGCAAGCCTGGAGCAGCTTTCTGGGGCAACCCCAGCCCAGCATGACCCACTACATAAAGGGCAGAAGAGCCATGCTCTGCTACACCTATGGGTGGACACAGGGGGCCAGCTCCTTTGCTGTTCTCTGGGCTCATTCCCCTGGTAAGAGATGACCTCCACGCACACTCATTCTTCAAGCCACATGGGCCCTGTCACACTCACACGGCACGCTCTCGGCGCTGCCTACTCTCCTCCTTTCCCCCAGGGGTACAAGAGGTCACCCCAGGGGGCAGGCGTGCAGGGCCTCCTGGATCTTCTGACGGCAATAGGAGTACTTTTGCAGGATCTGGCGCAGGTGTTCCTCTTCCTCCCGCTGTAAGATGCGCAGGAAGTTGTGTAGTTCAGGCATGCTGAAGGCATCCCACTGAGGTGGAAAGGAGGGAAACAGGCTGCAGCAGGCATGGCCAAATCAGCAGGCCCTCCCCAGCGAAGAGCAGCAGTCATGTCACACAGCTAGGATAGGGCTTTCTAATGTTAGGTTCTTGCCTGAATGGCCCGTGCTAGGATTCCTGACAATAGTCTGTAGAGAAGATGGGCCCCATAAAGTAGAGCAGTCACCTTGAAGACAGGCAACCATACCAGATGTCACCCAGTTATCTGTGGAAAGGCTATGCCTTTTACTACTCCACAGACCCAATACTTTGAAGCCAGAAAGCTTCTAGGTAAAAAGTCATAATGGTTGAACAGGAGCCTCCCTGATGATATGGGCCCATCTGTGGGTTTTTTTTTTTTTTTTTTAAGACTTTATTTATTTATTTGACAGACAGAGATCACAAGTAGGCAGAGAGGCAGGCAGGGAGAGAGAGAGGAGGAAGCAGGCTCCCCGCCAAGCAGAGAGCCCGATGTGGGACTCAATCCCAGGACCCTGAGATCATGACCTGAGCCGAAGGCAGAAGCTTAACCCTCTGAGCCACCCAGGCGCCCCTCCATCTGTGTGTTTTGATTTGGCTTGGAATCACCATACTATCAGAGGAATTCCTGCATGTCCTGAGGACTTTCCACAACAGAAAAGAACAGACCACCAAGACAATTCTTCCCGGCATCTTGGGACAAGCCTGTGACCTTGGCTTGAGTGGCCTGGAATGCTTCACTGTAGCTACAAGGTTCACATACTCTTAAAGAGGCTTTGCAGGGCTTTTTCTCCAGTCCTATTTTTCCTTCCAACTTTACTGCAGCTGTGGCCCACCAGCCTTACCCAGTGACAACCAAGAAGCCAAAGAGGGCTGTGTACTCACATTCACCTCCCCAGAGTCATTCTCCTTGAGGACAAAGCTTAGGGCCTTCTCGCTGGGCCCTGCAAGGAGCCGGAGCCGCAGGGGCTGCTCGTCATCCGACAGCTTCCGGAGGTACACTGAAGGCCAGGCAGGGAGAAGAAAGTTATTAGAGTCAGGCCCAGCCCATTCAGCCCCTTACACATGGTGCATGCATATATACCCTCATACATGGCGGGGAGGGAAGCCTACCTTGGCCATGGCGTTCAGCCCGCTCAAAGAGTGCAAACTTGCGGGGGTCATCCACCACCAAGAATTTTCGAAGTAGGGCCTCAATGACCTCACGTGCCCGCGTGCGTGACAACACATGCAGGTGCTTGACAGCATCCTTGGGCAGGTAGAAGGAGGTACGGCGCCTCACAGCTGTGCCCCGCCCTGTGCCCCGCCTGGCATCCTGCAAGGAGGGTGGCTTCTTGCTGGAGGGCACTGAGACAGGGCGTACCAGCTTCAGTTGAACCTTGATGAAGCCTGTGTAGGAGCCATCCTTGTTCTGAAGAGGAGAAACCAAACCATGACTACGTTCCACGTGAGATGGAACAGATTTGGACACTGCTAGTCCACTCGGGGCTAGGTTAGGTGTAAATAAATTACTGCTTAGGCCCACCCAAGAATACCTTAGCTGTGACTTTAGCTGTAGCCTCTCCCCAAACTCCCTTCCCCAGGCTGTCAACTCACCAGGCTCATGAAGAGGTTGCTGTTGATCTGGCTATTGTACTCCTTGATCTTCTGTTCAACCTCAGCCTGAGAAAGGTCAGGTGTTTTCCACTCCACAGGCTCGTCCTGAAAGAGGGGCCAGCATGGACACAGGGTCCTTAAAAGAACCCACCCCACTGCAATGCACATCACATACAGGGAGGTAAGTCTGCGTGGGCCACTTTGAAAAAGCTGCCTCTGGAAACTGAAAAAGCAGCCTTTGGAAACTGCCTACAAAGCTTGAGTCCTGATGAGAAGAAGCCACCATTGCTCCTGGTTTGCATGCAATGGATGGGCACAGCTACGGCAGAGTCATTTGGCTTCTTTATGCTGCCTACATGGGGCCTCCTCAGTACTGGGTGAGGCCCTAAGGATACCTTAAAACCAAGAAAACTGAAGAGAGAAGGCCAGGGGCCAGGAAAAGATGTGGGGTTCTTATTGACAGTAAAAGCACCTTTCAACTGCACGGCCTGATTCCAGCACCCTAGTTAGGTGGCGTCAGGAGTGTTCTGGAGAAGGGAGACCACTCTGCCACTCTGCCCCAGCAAAGGGCCATGACTACCCAGCGAGAAGTATGGGACTGGTGCACACCACGAGCCCAGCCAGGTATGGGCATGAGGGTAAGGTCAACCTCTACAATTTTAACACCTTCTGGTGAGGGATCTGGGGCCAGCCCTGTATGTCTCACACACAGGGAGGAAACCACTGTGACATGCCATTTGATCTTGACCAAGCTGCGCCAAAGGCAGCTTCAGGCCAGGCTCCAATCTGCCTCCTGGTAGAGCTGGTCCCACAAGTGCCAAGCAGGTAGGCTTCTGCACCTCCTCCCTCCTGTCTGGAGGTTCAGCCCAAAGATTTTTTTTCCCTCTACCACTCAGCCCATCCCCCACTCCTCCAGGGGCTGGATTCTTGCTGGAAGGGTGGAGTATGGACCAGGGAAGCCAGGGCTCTGAACAAACACTTTTCTATCAAACTCCCTGGTTCCATTGCATCAGCCTTACTTCCTGTTGACGTCAGGCCCTGGCTGGAATGGGAGTGTCACAGATGCAGCTGAGATCACTGCTGACCAATGCTTTGTCCCGGGGGAATTCTTACCAGCTGGGCTCCTGCAAAATGACCTGTGTCCAGCTCTGAGCCCAGGAAAGGCAGGCTTCTCCCTAACTGCTGCTTTGGAGTCCCTAAGCTTAAACCATCCGATGGGGATGAATAAGGAGGACACATTAGACAGTAGGGTGCTCTTCATCTAGACAGCCTTTTAGCAGTATGCTCTTTATCTAGAACTTTCCAGTAAGTATGTGGCACTTAAAACTTAGATTGGGGCCTCAGAGGGGAAAGGCATTGGGGGAGGTGTGGAAA